TCCATTCTATAGATGGGTCATCAACATTATGGAAGGTGCATGAACCATTATCCCGTTTACCTAAACCATTTTCTCATCAATAGAAATTAAATGAATTAAATCTAATCAAAATATTGTGCATACCATAAAATAGCACAAGTCTACTAAATCTTTCTACAAAATCTTTCAAAGATATATCAAGTCAATATCTTCCAACCATATGGCCACATGCTATATCACCAAAAAATAGGAAAGATAATAAGGGTGGAGCGTGCCACCTAAGGGAGGCACTCATGGGACCCACCTTCTAAAAATATAGCGGGCCCATTTGCACAATGGACCCTCATGATATTTTTATATATTTAAAATTAATAAAAGGATTTTAGAATATTATTTGAATATTTAAACAATTGTAAAATCAATATCTTTAATTTTATAAATTCAAAAATTATAAATAAAATATCCAAGGGTTCATAAAAATTCAAATAATAATATTAAAATAATTTCCATCATAAAAAAAATACGATTAAATTAATTTGATGGGAAAAAGATCCATATGGTTTAGGAATCAACAATCATGGGGCACTCCACTTTCAATTGTGGATTACAGACCACACTTGCTTTATCAGACCGAACTAGTGTTTTTTATGACCCACAGTCCATGCAGGGGCTCATTAGCGGGTCACCAAAGTCCGGCTGATGAGCCAAGGGATCGCAATCCCAGTCTTTGGATTTCAAGTCCTCCCCTAGAGAAGAGTCAAAGTCATCTAGACCTGATGCGATCATAGCTCTTATGGTGCATAGGGGTATCTTTCGCACATGCATACGCTTCACTCTAAAAGGTGGATTTCTGGTTTTTCCGTACGATCTATCGATATGCATGTCATGTGATGGCACATGGATGAGGCTTTGGCCCCCGTCTCTTTAGGCTGCCATTACACACAAGGGTCACACAGTCCCTCAACTCACTCATCCGGGCATGTTCTCCGACCTCATCAAATGCTAACCCATTAGACCCTTCTCGATTTGTTTTTTATACCAAGGTAATATGGATTTTTTCCAACCGACTAGCCTAGATAGGCAAGCACAGTCCGGTATCTGCAAACATTGTTTGCTTACTATGGCCCACGAGAGACCACAGTCCCACTGAGTTCATGTTCTACTTTATCATTTCATTTTGCAAGCACTCATAAGGCCTTTGAAGGCTACATGAACCCAACATGACTTCTATGGTATATTGTAGCTTACACATTATGACTTTTATAGTAAATCCATCTGTCGTTTAGACTTAGCTTGAAGAACCACTGTAATGTCATAGTAGCCTCACTCCACATGTGGCCATTGTGATGACTCGAACGAGGACCTTGTAGAGTCACTGTGAAGTAGTCCCAGTCAACAACATATTAACATAAAAAATCAGAGAATAACCCTAAATTAATTGCATTTACAAGTATTGCACAAGAGTAAACATTGTCAACATCATAAAAATTTCTATTCCTGTGTTAAAAGAACATAAATATAGATGTCAACTTGGATTTTCTCCTCAAAAAGGGGTAAATCAATAAAAATGATTTGATTGAACAACTCAATGAAAACCATTGGGTATACAAGACACTGAGACCCAACTTTAGTGAAAATCCTCTAAAATTATGGACAAAAAGTCCTAGATATTATAGCTTAAAACTATCTGATTCAAACAGGATCATCAGAGTTAAACAAATAGTCTATCTCAAAAGAGACATAGACGAATTTGCAGTTCAAATTAAAGAATAGAAAAAGACCTAATTGAACCAACATCAAGTCCTCATTCTAGGCATGCTTTCATGGTAAGAAACCATAATGAAGAAAAAAGAAAAAAAGTCAGGATGGTAATCAACTATAAAAAGCATAATCAAAACATAGAATTTGATAGAAACTTTATACTAGGGAATGCTATCTTGATTCATCAAACCAAAGGAGCTCAATATTTTAGCAAGTTTGACTGTAAATCAGGTTTCTGGCAAATCATGTTAACAAAAAAATCTAGAAAACTTACAGATTTCAGTGCTCCATATAGCCATTATCAATGGAAAGTAATGCCCTTTGGCCTTTGCACGCACCACAAAATTTCCAAATATGGATATTTAAAAAAAATTTATGCAGTATATATTGATGATATTTTGATATTCTCAAATTTTTTTGAAGATCATCAAAACCATCTTCGAATAGTTTCTAAATTTTTTTAAGGGGGGTGCAGTAGGACTACAGGCACATGTTGTTGCTCTTGTATCGATTAGCCTATCGAGTTGGTGTGGTTTATACCCTAAAAAATTGAATTATCCCAAAACAAATAAATACTTTTTTTGTTTTGGTTATGAGAAAATATAATTATTTCATCTTCCCCGACTTTTATTCGAGAAACATTGAGGCTTTGTTGTAGGTTTTTTTTTGTCTTTTTGAATATTAGTTTATGAGTTTTCACCTTGAAATAAAGATTCTTCAATCAATTTGTATCCTATTGGTTTTATTATACCTTTTTGTTTTTTATCATCTTTTTCTAATTGATGTTTTAGTTTTTGATCAATCTGATTTGACTGATCGAAACTTAACCTTCTTCCAATAAACAAATTATCAAGGCTTAACCACCTATTAATAAGTCTTTGATCAATGAAATATATATTATTTTCTGATGCTTGGAAGGTTACTTGGTGTATTTCTTTTTTAGAAGATTTATTGGTAAAATTTTCTATCAGCCAATTGAAGGTATTTCTAGATCTCGCCAGTTTATTAACTTTTGCTGTATTTCAGTGTCCAAGTTGCGAGGTTCAAAAACTTCTACAAATCGATTATCTATCTCTTTCGTAGATGTTTTGGTTGTACTTGTGAGTTCATGGATTGCTTTCCATTCAATGGCTAGATCAAAGCTATCAAAATTAAAACTATGTAGAATTCAAGAATTTGAATCCTATTCAAAGAATACCATAAAATGGTATCAAATGTTGGATGAAGTCAAAACAAACTTCTGAAAATAAATTTTTTTTCATAAACTACCTTCACCATGGGATGAAATCTGTGAATCTACTTATGAGAAGTATGTCACTGATTTAGTCTCCAAAGATACCCTTGGCAATAGAATCAGATATGTTTTCAAAAACTATTGAAAACTATTGTCTAAAACTAAAAGTGGCTAAACAAGTTAAAAAGGGCTTTAACTTAAAAGAATGTAATCAAATCCTAAAAAAGAATTTAAAATTTGGATGCGATAAAAAGTATAAAATGAAAACTTTTTCTAAAAAGAAAAAATTCGAATGGAAAAATTGGAAATGCAACAAAAAAAGAAAATTCAATAAAAAGAAAAGGTATGTTGTCAAGAAAAATGACAACAAACCCAAAAGAAGTTGCAAATGCTACATTTGCAATGAATGACATATTGCACCCAATTGTCTACAAAAGGTAAAAAACATAAAAAAGATGATAAAAATCTTGGAAGAAAATAATTTCGAAATTTGTTATGGAGATGAAATTTCTGATAACGAATCAATAATTTTTAAAGTTGAGACATAATTTGAATCAGAAACAGTGATTTGGAAATGGTCTTAATGATGACAGAAGATACTCTCTCAGAAGTTTCAACCTCTGAACCTTCAGTCAAAGAACAACAAGTTCTTAGACTGAGAGATATAATATAAGAATATTTTACGGTTGATATATCTAAGATAGAAAATTTTAAGATTATCAAAAAAGAAGAAATATACAAAATGTCAAAGTTCCAATTTTGGAATGTCAGACATTTTGAACACTTTAGCGGAAACACTACAGCTAAAGTATCAAAAATGGATCAATAGAAATTGCAATTTTTGACAAAACATAAATAACAAAAAATATTTAAGCAGTACCCAAAACTTAGATATTTGCATATTGGAATTATAATGATCGAAATAACAACTCTATTTCATCAAGGGATTGATACCCCAATCCTAGTTGTGGCATTAGATAAAAGATTCAGTAATCCTATTAAAGCAATAATAGGAGGACTCCAATCGAATCTTGTTACTACAAAAGTTTGGTTGAAATTAAAACCAAATTATTATATCTCAATACGAGATAAAAATATCCAAGATACTGTAAAAATCATGATTCAGACAAAAATTTTTGGGTCTGCCAGTCTGCATAACAGTTTTGATATGCCTTAATATTTCTATTTCCACTCTTTGATGATGAATCCTTTCACCTTGAAATCTTTAAAGTGATAGAGGACTCAATGATGAACATAATGGTTTAAAGCTCATCTTAAATGGATCACAAACGAGGGAGATATGGCTCGTCAAAGTGATTTCATTTTTGATGCAGATTGCGACAACAAATCTGAGAACTATGAGCTCAATTTTTCTCACCACAGGGGATTATAGAACTTAGGAGTATGACAATTTTGTAGAGGATACTATGATACACATCTCCACAAAATTTGAGCTCAACATTCTCCATATTCAGGAGAAATTATCCAATGGTGGGCAAACTTTTACACAATATTTATGGTTACTATTGTGGAGCTTGGTGCTTTCACATGAGAGATTGATAGGATGTTATGATGAAATTCTTTCATTAACAATTAAAACATACCACTTTCCATATTCTTAAAAAAGCAACTATTAAGAAACATATCATGTGAGAAAATTTCTAGTAAATTTTAGACAGGTTCGGAGAGAATAGAAAATATTTTTCCCAAAAAAGCCATTTAGATCCTCAGAAAAATATCTCCATTTTCTAATAAAATTGTTTATTTTTGCAGTTTGGATATAAAATCCAGGATTGGTAATATAAATTATTTTCTCTACTTTTAAGTTCGAAATAGAAAAATCTCATTCCAAGCCCTTACCCTATAAAACTTTTTCTCTTACCAGTTTTCCATCCCTAGACCAGTCCCCTGGACATTCAAAATCCCCACTCTCTCTCACTCTCTTGGGGCCCCGGGTTGGTAAATGATTCGGCCCATCTAATGCTGTACCGGAGAAGTCAACAGGTTCACCCTTGGTGCATGTACACATTATTAGCTATTTTACGACATCATCCTTCGGCCTTCCAGCGGAAGGAGTCGGGAGTAGACCAAGAAAGAGAAGTTCTCTGCGTTGAAGTTGAGGGCACAAGCATGGATGATTGAATGGCATGGCCTGATGAGCACATTATGTGGACATGCATCATCGCCTGAAGCCGAAAGCAATAGCTACAGGCGTTGTATAGCAGCAATAGCAATCTCTTCTCAGCCTTCTCCGCTCCCATGGAAACTCTTCCTTCTGCAATTGTCACAAGTGGCCTCCGAATGCTCAGCTGCACAAAGAAACCCTTCTCCTCTCCTCTTTCCCAACCTTTCTTCATTCGTCAATCCCCTCGCCTTTTTGCTGCTTCTCCTCCCTTTGGCAGTCGTTCTATGAATTGCCATAGCCAAATAAGCGAGAACCATCATCAACATCATCGCGACCACGCTCATCATGGCCACCACCACCACCACCACCACCACCACCACCACCATCATGATTGTGGGGATTGCAGGGGAGGAGAGAGAAAGCAACTGAACAGTTCTCAAGAGGCAATTCTTGCAATGGCCAGAGCTTGTGGGTGGGCTGATCTTGCTGATTTTCTGAGAGAGCACCTTCAATTGTGTTGCTGCTCTATGGGCCTGCTCCTTATGGCCGTTCTTTGTCCCCACGCCCTACCAAAACCAGCCATTAAGCCTGTCCAGAACACCTTGGTCGCCTTCGCATTTCCTCTTGTTGGGGTAAGTGGTCGTATCTATGGATTTCATGCTTTTTTGAACTCCATTTGATTTCAGTTGCATGTTTAAGGGCCTATTGATAGTTAGATAGCCTGAATGAATAGTTATTTCGATTAAGTACTGAATGATTGGTTGAAAGTGTTTCTGATTTTCCATGCTTCATTAGTAATGGTGATACCTGAAAGTCTGTGTAAAATGCGGGGAAATTTATTACATTTGAGGGAGGGAGGGAGGGAGGAGATTTTGTGCAAGGGCAGTGTAGGCTTACGTGCTATTGGAGAATTAGTAATGTGCCCACAGCTCGCTCTTTGTCACTTGATATCTATTGATTTCAAGTGAAAAGCCCGTACGCCTCCGGCCCCAGCTAAAAGTAGACTTAAAGATCAGGAAGATGGATTTGAGCTGAAAGAATTGTACTCCAATGTGGGGCGAAGTGGGTCTAGAGTCTATAGAGTCGGTTTTAAGGTGTCCAAGGCGGAATCCTTTAAAGAGGTAGGTAGGTATGGTTTATGACAGTGGGGGAGTGCTTTGAACATGTTTGTCTAGGGTGTGGGACTAGGATTTAAAAGCGCTTTTCTCAGTTTAGAGTAAGGTTGGAAAAATTGTACACGCTCCAGAACTTGGCATGGGCCCTAGTGATTCAGCTCGAGATCAAGTGATATTAATTAATTACATGAATTTAAATTAGAAAATGAAAGTTACCCAAAATTTCAAGGTCTATTCTCCTCCAACCTTTGCATGTGGTGTGAATCAATGCCTCCAATTTTTGGCAAAGGGACCTCAAACACCCCAAATAGAAATCCTTTAACCAGAATTGAGATTCGAGTTCAGATCTAGTTGGTCTGAGTATAGATCTTGCAAATCTGAGATTTTAACAGTTTTTTGAGGGAAACAATCCGATGTTCCATATAAGACCCAAAAATAGGCTCAGGTAATGATCTTTATCCAATATTAAGCAATGCAAAGAGCTTTTTGAATTTGGTCAAACCTAGATTGAAAATACTGATCTCTCAAATCGGTAAGTCTGATTATTTTCTGAACTAAAAAATCTATTAAATCAATGGATCATGAAAAGCGCATACACGAAAATTTGGGCTCCATTGGTTGCTTTATTTGAAGAGGAATAAGGAAACGGGGCTTGGTTTTTTCATCCCGTTTTATTTCCGAAAAATTGTCAAACTCGGTGAGTTTTGATAGACCCACTGATTCCATTAGAAACTCACCGAGTTCTGACATACTTAGGCGAGTTTCTACAATGACTCGCCTGAGTTTTGCTACAACACTTTATCAATAAACCCCTTGCCTTATGAGAGGAGTTCGTGCTAAGCCCAAGTGAATCGTCCAAGTTTGAGACTCTACTGATTTTTCTTACACTGGTTTAGAGATGTGTTGAGGAACTGAGATTGAATTAAGTTAAGGTTGAACGTATAGTCTTTGCATGGATTCCTTGGGAATTTGGGCTAACTAGGGGTCTTTTACTTAAGGTACAACTCTAAATATTTAGGAGGGTTAAAATTGTTCCTTTTTGATGGAACTAAATACCTAAAGCGATATTTTGAACATATTTATTAGAACCTAGTATCGAATAAGTATCCAGTTCTTGCACCATCCTCAAGAATCAGTACCTTCGAGCTACTACTTGTCAGTTTCCATCCTTTTTTTTTAATTTACATCATGACAATACTCATGACTTGCCAAGTTGCATCGATGATCAGCCTCCACTATTGCCGAAATCCTATAAGGATTGAAGAGCTTTCCAACTCCAGATAAACAATGGGAAATTTTACACCTTTATCCATCTTAGATTTAGTGCAAACTTTCTTTCCTGCTACACTTGTAGTATCCAGTTGCTGCCCCATTTGTTCACCAATTTTGGACATGTTTTGACCAATACTTAGTTTGAATTATAAAGGATGTCCAATGCCTTTATACTTAGTTTGAATTATAAAGGATGTCCGATGCCTTTAGCATGTCAATCGATGCTAATTTGCTTGCCTTGCCTTTTCTTTGTATCCATCAGCTGTGGAGAGAAAAAGTGTATCTTGAGGGGACAAACTATCGTGGACTGACTATCCTACTATGTGGTTAGATCCCTGAAATGTATGCCAAGGTTACCTTCAAGGTTCTCTCTACTTTAAGTATCTCTTGAATACTTGATTAAGAAGTGCCTGCATCAGGCCTTAGGATAACAACTCCTCAGGCATACGGTGTCATCCACTTCTTCAGAAGGAAGCACCATGGCTTTCTGTGCCACATCCTTGAAAGAAAGAGGCTTTCTCCTCATAATCATCTGATAATTGCACCAACCTGTATCGTAGGAAATCCCAGTGGCTGATATATAAAGGTTATCATTCATTTTGTAAGGTTCCCTATTATTGAAATAATTTTTCATGTAGTACCCTCTTCCATTATTCACTAACAATATTCTAAGCTAACCAGTGTTTCAAAAAGCGCTAGGCAGGTCCTAGGCGGCCTGGGGGTTCAGGCTGCCCAGGGCCTAGGCGGGCGCCTAGAACTTGGGCAGCCCAGTATAACTGTATATTGTATAAAACATAAGACTTAGGGATTTAGGGCACATCAAAATTCAAGAGTATACTATGCATTAGCACACATTTTATAAGCATCACCATAAGTCGGTCCATATCCAATTAAAACTTAAAATTTACCAACCAAATTATCAAACCAAAGTTACCAAATACCAAACCAGTGGAACTACAAATTCACTATCCACAATACACAACCAAGAGGAGGAAAACAAAAATAAAAGAAATACTTGAGGACTCAACATGATCTTCAATCAGTGTTCAAAGTTTAATCATCATTCATCATTAGAAAAAGTAGGGTTAGCTGCATTTGCATCTTATGCATTGGAGTCGTTGCCATCATCATGGTCATCGACCTCCTCGACATAATGGTCGTCATCTTCTGTCTCATTTGAATCTGCCTCTTCTTTCACCACCCTTGTCCTCTATGTAGAAGATCTAGTGGCTCTAGGAGGGTCGACTGATGTCCTTGAAGCATCCATGACCATGTCCCATGTTCATCCTTGATGCCCCTCGATCTGATCATCATCAACCAACCACTCCATATCAGTGTCTATATTTTTTGATCTGAGGGGGGTATCTCTATCTCTCTTAGTAAACCTGTCCTTCAATAATCGATTATACTTGACATAGACTAGGTCATTGAGCCTCTTTGATTCAAGTCTGTTCATTTTCTTTGTATTTAACAATATTACAAAGCAATCAGAACTAATAACTACTAAAGTATTCCAATTGTGCTCAGAACCGGACGAGGAAGTGGTTAGGTTTAAGATCCGAATGGCTAACTTTTATAAATTTGGAGAACTACAGCCATGTTGGCTGCAAAGATATAGAATAAAATCATAAATAAATAATAGAATTATAGAAATGAAACTTGATAACTTGAATAGTTGAATAATAGCCGATGTAGCTGCATATCCCACTTCTCATCAATAATCTCCCAAACAGACTTATAACGGTTCTCATCATCTAAATTTTGGGCTATCTCTCTCTTGCATTTCTCCATACCCTCATATATGTAGCCCATAGAAGCTGTCACTATCGACCATGCGGAAGACTTAAGTGAGGCGAAAAAATACCTTAAGAGTGCTCTTCACCCCTCGTCAAAAAGCCTTAGAAAGGGTAATGTCTCTCACCTTCTTTCCAACCTGATCCTTGGACCACTTGCATGCTCTCTAGTCATCCGAGGTAAACATGTGCTTCAACTGCACTCTCCTCGAATATATGCTATCTAGGCATAAGTACCAGGTTGCAAATCTCGTGACCCCAGGACTCACAATCTCTTTCTTTTTTGTAATCTACGCATCATGATGAAGGTAAGATGGCTGCTATATACGATATTCGTAACTGACTTTGCCTTATTCATTGCACGTGATATCTCGGTTAAACCGCCAAGAGCATCAAGCATAAGGTCTATACAGTGTGCTGCACATGGTGTCCAAAATATTCTAGGGTAAGCTATGCGCAACAAATTAGCAGTAGCAACATTAGGAGCAGCATTGTCTGTGACAACCTGTATAACAAGACGGTCCCCAACCTCCTTGATTCCCTTCTATATAACTTGGAATATGTAATGGGCATCATGGCTATGATCAGAGGCATCAATAAACCTAAAAAAAACAGTCCCTAAAGGACAATTCACCAGCAAATTCATATGACTTCGTCTCTTCCTATCACTCCAAGCATAAGTCATAATAGAAAATCCATACTGAGCCCATGCATCATTCTTAACTTCAACAACATCCTTCTTGACACTCACCATTTTTTTCAAAAGAGGCTCTGAAAGCTCATATGCGGTTTGGGGTTTCATCCTAGGCCCAAATTGGCCAATGCCTCTACCAAGGCGTAACAGCTGCTTAGGCGAACGCTATTGAAAGGAATGCTTGCCTCATAAAACCATATAGCGATATATAAAACAGTTCTATCTCTCTCTTCCTTCTATTTTCAATAGTGGTTTGCTTCTTTTTTTTCTCTTCTCCAACCTTAGGGTTAGGCTGGGGCAAAAATCTATCCATAGGGCCTCTAACCCAAGGCTTCTTAGCCACCGAACTCCCAAAACCAATTACAACTCCCTTTCTCTTCCCCCTAATAATGGATTGTTCTACGCTTTATTTATTTATTTTTCTATGAATTGCTTAATAAACTAGAACTCTGTTTTCTTTTTATATGTCATCATAAAATACCATTTACATTCTGATGAGTCTTGCTTTTGGAAGTTCTTGATTGCATTGGTCGATTGCTGATTTTGTCCCACAAATGGGAGGAGATTGCGGGATTGGATGTTACTCTTAGAGAAACCTATTGGCGGAGTGGTGGTGGAGATGGGCTTACATGGTTGTGTTGGCTTTTGTGGCCTTTAAAGGCGTAGGGAGCTTATAAATATGATTTTTTATAGTGGGATATACACTTCAATGAGAGTGTGTGTTGACTGACCAAGGGTTGGGCAGTTTATGGCCTTGG